TTTTTTTTTCTTTTTTAATGGATCTTGGAAAACTGATTCTAAAACTACTTGAAAAGTAAAAATTCAAGAATACATAGGATCCTTGTGAGGAAAAAATAAGGTGTGAATCTTGCTCTACTAGATACCAAAAGCTTTAGTAAAGATGCAGTGATAAAAACTGTGGTTTTGGCACAGGATAGGCAAGCTGACCAGTGGAACAGCCTAAAGAAGCAGATTTAAGAACATATGGAAACTTAATATGACATAGCTGTTATAGGAGAACGATGCACTATTCAATAAATGATGATGGGACAATTGGTTTCCAAAGTGGGGGAAAAAGTAATTGCATCCCTATCTGACATTAGGCACAAAAATCAATTCTAGATGAACTAAGACTTAAAAATGAAAATTAAAACCTCAAAACCTTTGTAGAAACTATAGGACAATATTTTTACAACTTCAGGGTAAAGATAAGTTTCTTTGAAAAGACACAGCAAAACAATCATAAAGATTAATACCCGGTATATATAAAGACCTACAAATCAGTAAGAAACCCATAACACCCAATTGAAAAATAATCAAGAAACCCAAATGGATATTCTAAGGAAAAGGAAGTGCAAATGTCCAATAAGCATTAAAAGAGCTTAATCTTATGAGTGACTGGGGAAATATAAAAGACTCCAAAGATAATATTTTACCCTAGAATGGCAAAATTAAAAAATCTCCCTATAGCAAGTGATGAATATAAGTAACAAAGGGGACTTATTCTGTTGGTGGGAGTATTAAATGGAAAACAATTTGGCGTTACTGAATATCTCCTAGCCAGAATATTTACAGAAGCATTGTTTTTATAGGCTCTAATCTGGAAATAACACAGAAGTGCATGACAAGAAAATCAATGAGTAAATTACGGAATAGTGTCACAATGGGATGTTCTACAGCAGCAAAAATGGAAGAACGATGGCTCCGTGTAATATAGATTCTCTTAGTGACATAATGTTGAGTAAAAATGTGAGTGGTAGAATACTACATAGACTACGGTACGATTTTGTGTTGCCCAAACACAAATGAAACTAAGCCACTTTGTCTCAGAACACACACACATATATATGTAGTAACAACTTAGAAAATGGGAGGGGGTGAATGATTTACACAAATTCAGGATAATTTTTTTATACCTCTCAATGAGGAAGACGGGGAGGGAAGAGAATGGAAAACACCTCCTGAGGAGATTCAGGGAATATTCGTAAAGTTCTACTTTACAAATTAGGTGGTGTGTTCAGCATGTTTGATCATTTAGATATTCTTTTGCAGTTTTCAAAATTATAAAAATTAAAAATATGTTTAAAAAAGAAACTGTAAAGCACTGGGGCCTTAAGACTACTGGCGGCAGGCGTCAGCCGACAGAGAATTCTGGGTCAGGGATTTCGCGCGCAATCACCCGTGGGGGTGGAGCCTCACCTTCCAGTGCACACATGCACGCATGCGCGCCTGCGTCCAGCCAATCAGCGACGCGCCAGGCTGAGGCGAGACTGGTTTTTCTCCCGCACGAATACCAGTTACCTCAGAAGCTTCGGGGCTGCGAAGCTATACGTCAGGTGACTGGCATCGTTGGACGAGCGGGGCCGGGGGGCCAACCTGCCAGGTGACGGTAACTGTGGTCCTAGGCCATGGGGTGTTTTTCTTCAGGCGTGAGCAGGGAAGGTTTGTCCAGCGCCTGAGTCCAGGCCAGAGGCTGCTCTTCACCGTTGAGGCAACTTTTCCCCAATGGTGTTACCCGGAGCTTCTGACAGGAAAATGGAGGCAGCGAAACTCTCCAAGGGCAGGGCCTTGAGCGGACAAGAAGCGGGTGGAAAGCAGATGGGCTGGGCTAGGCCTGGACCTTCCTTCGTTACGAGCTTGGAAGGTTTAGGGCGGGTGTGTGGGCGGGGGGAGGGGGTTACCTCTGTGTGGGTCTCTCCCCCCTGCCGGCCCCAAACCTGTCAGAAACGAACTAACTGAGGGCTCCTCGCTTTTCCTCAATGTGTATGTTGTGGAAATCTTATATGGACGTTAATTTTCTGAGGCCCAGATTGCAGAATGTTTTTACTTTATATTTATATTGCCGTGAACTTATTTTTGGAATGCTCCCGATCTGCCCTGCCACCAACCACTATTTAACTTTGTGGCTGAGATGCCCACTATAGTTGCCCAAATGTAGCCGTAATCTGGCAGACACGGGACTAAAATTCAGGTCCTCCAGTCTCAGGTGCAGTCTCTCCCTCACTGTACACTTGGAGTCAGGGTAGACTTGACATTGTCTACTTCGTTAACTTTTGGTCCAGTAAAATAAATGAGGAAACTGCTAAAATTCTCTTTAACTAAGATTATCCTAGGGGAGGGGAGGGATAGAGGGAGGGGGGGTTAACGACAAATTGTTTAACGCACACAAAGAATGATTAAGTATTATAATGATGAATAAGCTAACTGTACTGATAAGGCCATTGCTCACTGTACACAACTGTTGGTGGTCAACTTTGTACCCCACAAATATGTACAATAAATTATTTTTTTTTAAATGCACTGTTTTTAAAGTGGACAATTCAGTGGCTTTTTAGGGGAAAAAAAAGATTAGCCTTATTTGATATCATATTTGATATTTAAAATTTTACCAGTTTATTTAAATGATGCCTTTGGACTCAGGAGGGTTGAGAGATTTATTTTTTGAAGTCAGAAAACATCTAAGTATGGTGCCCTCTGGAAGAAAGCATTCCGTGAAGTCTGGGAAGGCATCAATGGAGGATCAGGATGTAAGACCCTATAACTTTGAGAAAGAAGATAAGAAAAATCTGAGTGGTTCAGAGGAGGATGTTACTGAAGGTACAGTATAGCTAATGTTGGACAGTGATGGTATCCTACAGTTCATTTGTTTTGAACCCACTACATTTAAAACTATAACAAAATATTGTTTGTAAAACATTTTCATTTACAGTTATCTATCAGTATGAGAAGGGATTGGTTCCAGGACCCCCCCCCTTGGATACCAAAATCCCAGGATGCTCAGGATTACCCCCTGACATAAAATGGTGGAATATTTGTATATAACCTATGCACATCCTCCTGGATACTTTAAATCATATCTAGATTACTTATAATACTTAAAAAAAATGTAAATGCTATGTAGATAGTTGTTATACCGTATTTTTTATTTGTGTTATTTTTTATTGTGGTATTGTTTTTTTATTTTTCTTGAATATTTTCAATCTGAGGTTGGCTGAATCTGTGGATGTGTAACCCGCAGATGTGAAGGGCTGACTGATATGGAGGGCCCACTGTACTTTGTTTCACATTTGATCCTCATAACCCTGTATCGGTTATAGAAGCTTATGTAGCATCTCTTGCCTTTGCAGTCATTATTGCCAAAATGTCTGATAAATAGTACATGACTTACTATGACATTAACCCAGAAAAAAAGTTACTATGACATTAACCCTAAAAAAAGTTCCTATAAGAGGGTCCTGAATCCTGATTTAATTTCATTTAACCTGCAGAGAAAGTGTTGCATTTATATGTCTGCTCTAAAAACTTACGTCGGCAAAAAGCCTAAAAGCCCAAAATGAAGATATTGCTTCATTATTGGCATACTTAATTTAAAAATGTTTTTTTCTTTTTAATCGTCAATACAGGAAAGACTCCAGTAATTGATAAGCATGTGAAGAAAAGGCCTTCTGCAGGAATAGTTCAAGATGTGGGGTAATAATTTTTGCCTGTTGTACTTCAAGAAAAGTTTAATTTAGTTGCTTCTAACAAATATTGTATGTAAAATACTTGGCATGTGATATTTCTTCCAAAACAAGCGTGATATTTTATGGATCCTTAATTAAAATTTTTTTAAATGTAATTTCTTCACAGGGGTGAAGTACAGAATATGCTGGAAAAACTTGGAGGTATGTTTTAGAAGACTTTTGTATTTAAAATTGTTTTAAATCATATAACTTGTATAATAAGAAATGTTAATCAGTGGACTATAAGACTATTATTTAATGCCTTGCTCTCATATCTAGGATTTTGCCTAAGTATTTGTGTTTTATCTTGGTGGATTTCCTTACTTACCTTTTCTATGATGTTAAGAGTGAGAATGGTGCTTGTATTTGATGCATGTGTGAATTTAATGGCTTAAAGAATTTTAGAAAAAAAACGGATGGGAAAAGTCTTTACCCTTCTTTGTATTAACAGACTGATACACACATATATGTATATGTCTGTATTACATGTAAATTTTTCATTTCCTCAATTAAGTTGTTTTCTGTGACTTTTCCTGTGTTCTTGTCTTTAGGCAGGACAGTATAAACTGAGGCCTCTAAAATAACTCTTTATTGTTATTTTTACATTAATAAACTAAGTAGTTGAGAACTAAAGACAGCTTTGCTAGTTAATAATTTATAATCAGGTCCAAAAATTCTTAAATTTTAAGTATGTTAAATATCAGTTACATGAGCTTTAGTAGGGGACATTACAAAAAAGAGTGAATATTTGGATTCCTCTATATGAATTATTAATACAGTCAAGTCTTTTTTAAAAAGCTTTAAAAAAGCTTTTCTCTTTCCTGTGGTGACAAAGTGCTTGTTTTATAATCTGTCTTGTAAATTTATTATTATAGATGATACTGAAAGTATAAAATATTAATAATAGCTCCATGACAATTACTGAAGGATAACTATTTATGGTAGATGCATAACATAAAGGCATATGTTTAGCAAACACATTATTTGCAGTATTAAGAATTTTATGAAATGCAGTAGTTATGGGCAATAATGTCCTATAAAAAGCTGTTTGAAAGAATTTAAATGTGTTGAATGAATTTATCTAAATTTAAGATATTAAATTAAGATTTCTGTATCCTTAGCCTTTGTCTCTTTTAATGAAAAATATATTCAAAAGTATCATTGACTATTTTTTGTTTGATTTGAACTTTTTTTATTCTTTTCGTATTCTATTCTATTCATAAATATACAGAATATTTATGTATGTTTTATTTAAAGAGTTCTAACAAAAATTCATCTAAATGTATTCTTCCAATTTCAGATTTTATAAATTTAGAAAAATTTAGCCTTTAAGAGATTAGAGTCTATTCTTGAGACTTTCTTTTGATTTTTAGTTCTTTTTTATCATCCCTAAATTAAAAAATCATCTCTGGTTAGAAAAAACAGAATTAGGATACTAATATCTGAAAATTTTCTGAGGAAAAAAAAAATTAGAAAATAATTCTGCTTTTTTTTTTTTTTTTTTT